AAATGGAGAGCCAGGGATTAATCAAGCATAGTTTTGTTAAGGTGACATTATGGTCTATTCCCTTTGAAATAAAGGCCAAAATTCCATTTTTCTTCCCTATTACCCGCTAAACCTTTTAGTTTTTTTCTGATTCATGGATGAGGACTACCAAATCTGTCTGTTCTGTAGCTTTCTGCAGTCTTTCTCCATTTAAAGAAAATTCAGATCCTCTATTCTTCCAGGCCCAGGATTCGTCCATTCCGTCCGTTTATTGTTTCTTTTCTTGTTTTTTTTTCTTTTTTTTTAGTTTTTTAGTTTGTTTTCTTTCCTTACCTTCTGGAGAGAAGTCAGGGTACAGAGCGTGGCAGAAATTGAGTCCCCCAGCAGGACTTTTGCACTCAGCAATGCAGCAGCTGGTGAGCCAGGTGGATTTCTCAGCTGCATTGCGGCATCAAGGTCTGGAGCGGTCGATGGCGATGTGGCTGGTGAGCTGTCTGTAGCGAGACAGAAGCATAGGGGAGAGATCACATCCAGCGCGGGGGAGAAATGAACCCAGTGTAGTGTAGAGATTGAGTCCAGCGTGGGGAGAGATCGGTCCCTCATGGGAAAGTCTAGCGTGGAGCAACTGCAGGCCCATGGCTAAAGGAGGACTGTAATGCTGACCTTTAAAATTTAATTTATTTATTTTACTTTATAATAAGAACTGTAATCATGAACTTTTATCTGGTTTCTTTGTTTCTCTACTTTATACCTAAGATTTTGTACCTCGGTACCCTTGTACCTAAGATGGAACCAAGAATGGAGACTTTGTACACTTTTCATTGTATTTCTGTGTTCTTGGACTTGAGTACATGTGACAATAAACCTAATTCTAATTCTAATTCTAATCCTAATTAAAAGTATATAACCTCACATTTTCCCACATTATATTCCAACTGCCATGATTTTGTCCACATGCTTAACCTATCTGTATTCTTCTGCAGCCTGTTTGTGTCATTTTCACCACTTGCCTTCCCAACTATTTTTGCGTCCTCTGCAAATTTGGATATAGAACATTCACGTTCCTCATCCAAATCACTCATATAGGAAATAATTGTGGCCCCCAGCACTGTTCCTTATGGCGTTCCTCTGTGTGTCAGCAAGACTGATTTTGGTAAGAACTTAAGTTAGAAAATAACTATAGTGTTGTCTTAATCCTTGACTTTGTGTTATGAACAAGGAGTATCAGGCTTCTCAGGACAATTGGCAATAACTGGCACCAATCTTGCTAACAATATATACAACCAGAGAAGGAGTTTGAAATAAAGTTGTTGAAAAAGGAAAGATGTCACTGCCTAAAGAGTGAAAATTATGTAAAATTACTCATACTAACTCGATTATTCAAAAGCTGAAAGAAAATAAGGTCAAGACAACAAAACAGAGGTTTAGTAGATTTTTAAAAAAAGGTGTAACTGAGGTTTGAGTACTGCATTCTGTGGGTGGGTTCAACCCTTTTGATGCAGAACTGTACGGTGTTTACCGTTTGAAAAGCATTACTCCATCACACCATTGGATTTACATTACTAGTACCTAGTTCAATTTAAAAAGAAACTACTTCAGATTCTTTTTAAATAGCCTGCCCGATGCTTATTAAAAGTTATCATTTATCACGAATTTTTAAAAAAAACTATAAATTTACATTCTTCTTAAGATTTTACTTCGCGATCTTTAATTTTAATGGAGCAGTACTGTCGGATTATTGTTAAAGGAATGCGTTAATGCAAACTAAGGTAATCTTCATTCACTCTCAGAAGGTAATAAGATTGTGAAGCTTTCTATCTTTGGAAGAGATTGCGCCGGGCAGAATACTGTTCATATCTACGAAGTTCGATTTACGTGAGTTAAATTTGCATTTGTGGCGTAAGAAATATTGTTATAAAAACAATGAAAAATAAATATGGTGGGTACAAGTTCGAGTCCTCTTTAAAGTAGCGAGCGTTTTGTCTCCTTATTACTGTAAAGAGGACTGGGTTGCTAATTTACTAGCTATTGGTCATCTGCTAACTGGGAATGATAATTTGGCAGGGCGATTTTAAGGAGTCGTCGCCTCCCTGAAAAGGGCATTTGGCAATCAGATTTCGTTAATCTGAGATACACACTTGTGTCAACTATTCTGAAGAACACTCCGTACCTGATCGTGAAAGTGAGTGGTTCGAAATTAAAACCCTTACCACGTTGCATTTCAAAAAAATAATTTTAATTACAACCTCCATTTGCAAATGATGGAGAAAGCTAGGTGGACCAGACTTGTTTTCACGTTGTCGAGGTGATGGACAGCCATTGCCACAGGAGGCAGAATTCATCAGAGATCTATTTTTTAATCAAAATTTAACATTTGACCTTGTTATGAACAGCTAATATGCCGAGTAATTGTTTTCGATATTTAAGATTTTGCTGAAACATTATCTTGCATAAGAACCGAAAGAACTGCGGACGCTGTAAATCAGGAACAAAGACAGAAGAGATAGAAGTTGCCGGAAAAGCTCAGCAGGTCTGGCAGCATCTGTGAAGAAAAAAAGTTAACGTTTCGGGTCCGCTGACCCTTCCTCAGAACCCTTGGAAACATGGTTCTAAAGTTTGTTAAACGTTTCCTGTTATTAATTATTTGCCTGCATTCGAACTTTCCAAGTGCACCCTAAAGAATTACCTTAAATTGGGAACAAATTAAGCATCCCCTTGCCTTGGCCGACGTGGAGCATTTGTCACTTGCTGGCCTCGCTGTCTAGATGGTCGGAGGAGCTTTACCATCAAGCGCAGTCCACGAGCAGCAACTGCATGTTTGAGAGGTCGCTGACATTCTCCCGTCTCTTGAATAACAGCGTTCACAATCCGCGCGGTGGCGCAACAAGCTCACGTCCAGTCATCTGAGGTTTTGGGGAATTCATTAACAAGGCAGCGAGGCAAAGAGGTAACAGAGCTCGGAAGATTTACTGCGAAGCGCTATATTTTGTCAATGACGACACATGCACCTATAGCCAGCCACTGAACTGTGATAAACATTTATGTTGTCGGAGTATTGAGCATAGCAATAAAACCACAGCACGTTTTTGGACATTTTATTCTCGTTTTGGAGGTGAACGTTGTGCCGACAGTCTTTATCCGCTTTAAAATGAGTGTAGGACTAATGTTCAACCGACCCGTCAACATTGCACTTTCGTGAGAATAAGAGGGTGAAGTGCTGGATCGTTTCAAAACGGACTGGGGTACATGGTTTTGCGATCTTGCCTGCTTCATAAACAGAGCTTGGGACAACCTCGGTGAGTACTTGCAGATAACCGCTGAACGTCAGGCAGGGTGTGCAGGTGAGGAGATGTAGGAACCGCAATATGAACTGCTATCTGGGGCAGACTGCACCGTCCTCACAGGCTCAAAACTCCCTGCATCGTGGCGACTAGAAAGTTGCTGAACATTTTTTTGGGGAACTGGTAGATGTGGAGTAACTATTGACTTTAAATTACGACTTCCTCGCGGGAGAACAAAACCCAAAATGCTGCACACATTGGAAATCTGTTCTGGCGGACAATCGTGGAACTTTAAATTTAACCCTGGCATCGTTTCTCTACAGGCGCTGCCTGACCGGCTGAGTGTTTCCAGCATGCTCTGTACCTCATCTCATTACAATGATTCTGGCTGTAAATGCGACCCACCAGTGATCACACTTGCAATGGGACTCGGGAGTGTAGTAAATGCTTAATAATTTGAGAATGACATTCACACTAGTTGTGTGGCTATTTAAAGGTGACATTATTTGCTTCATTTCTGATCTCTTTAAATTTCCAAGGAACGTTAAATGGATGGCGGGGTGCAAGATATGCGGATTTTGTAACTCTGGAGGCACAGACAGCTTGGAGTGAGAAGTTCCGTCAGAGAAACTGTTGAAAAAAACACAAAATTCTCATCCCCCTACTGTGTAAAGTGGATTTACACGCTCTCCAGGATACCAGGGAGGACAGTTAAGCAGGAATACTTACAGGAGATTGATCATTTGGTAGTATGCAATGTAAGTGCATTGCAGAATTTTGCACCTCTGCAACAGGGGACGGGGCAATGTTGAAAGTTGCTCTTTTTCGGGACATTGACTGAGGTAAAGATGTTTAACTGCGACACATCATGGAGCTAAAGTTAAACCTAACTCGGAAGAAAGGGCATTGATCAAAGCTAAGACCAGGTGGAGATGGATTGAAGGTAGGCCCTTTCTTTAGTCGGGAGACGAGATATTGCCATTACCGCCCTGTGGTCAGCGGGTTCCCTGTGATTCACGGGAACGGGTCTGAGTGTGACACAGGAGGACGGGTGTACACTGTATCCGAGGGCTCCTTTCTTTTTGGGGGTGTGGGGAATGAGGCTGAACACCACCACCATGGATGGCAGCTCGCTGGCTGCTGAGCAGGACTCCTCGTTCCGAGTGCTCACGGGCTGCTTCCTCTCGCTGCTGATTCTCTCCACGCTGCTTGGCAACACCCTGGTCTGCGTGGCGGTCATTCGCTTTCGCCACCTGCGGACGAAGGTCACCAACTTCTTTGTGATCTCGCTGGCCGTCTCCGACCTGTTGGTGGCGGTGCTGGTGATGCCCTGGAAGGCGGTGAGCGAGATCGCGGGCTTCTGGCCCTTTGGCCCCTTCTGCAACGTGTGGGTGGCCTTCGACATCATGTGCTCCACCGCCTCGATCCTCAACCTGTGCGTGATCAGCGTGGACAGATACTGGGCCATATCCAGCCCCTTCCGCTACGAGCGGAAAATGACACCCAAAGTGGCTTTCGTGATGATCAGTGCGGCGTGGAGCCTCTCGCTGCTGATCTCCTTCATCCCTGTTCAGCTCGATTGGCACAAGGCGAGGGCCCCGAATGGGCTACATGGCAATGCCAGCTCCCAGCGCCTAGGGGATAACTGCGACTCCAGCCTCAACAGGACGTATGCCATCTCCTCGTCCCTCATCAGCTTCTACATCCCCGTGGCCATTATGATTGTCACCTACACCCGCATCTACCGGATCGCCCAGAAACAGATCCGGCGTATCTCGGCCTTGGAGAGAGCCGCGGTGCACGCCAAGAACTGCCAGAGTAACCGGAGCAGCGCCAGTACCACTGACATCCAGTCCGAGAGCTCCTTCAAGCTGTCCTTCAAGCGGGAGACGAAAGTGCTCAAGACCCTGTCGGTGATCATGGGCGTCTTCGTGTGCTGCTGGCTGCCCTTCTTCATTCTCAATTGCATGGTGCCGTTCTGTGAGAGTCACGCCAGCCCGCCGCCCCTGCCCTGTGTCAGCGGCAGCACCTTCGATGTCTTTGTCTGGTTCGGCTGGGCCAACTCCTCCCTCAACCCCATCATCTATGCCTTCAATGCAGACTTCCGCAAAGCTTTCTCCACCCTGCTGGGCTGCGATACTCTGTGCGCCAGCAACGCGGTGGAGACGGTCACCATCCACAACGGAGTCTCCTCGTACCATCCCGGGCCATCCCTGGATAAAGCGGAGAACAGTGTCTACCTGATCCCCCATTCGGTGCCCTGCCCTCCAGAAACCCCGACAGACCCCAACCACTGCGCAAAGCTCTCGCCCATTTCCCAGCACGGGGCGGTCAGCCTTCTGTCCAGCAATGGGGACTATGAGACAGACGTGTCCTTGGAAAAGATCATTCCCATTACCCAAAACGGCCAACACAATACCTGACCGCACCGGAAAAAAAGCTGCTTTTCAATGTAGTAGAGCCAACATACATGCCAGCTAGTGTCAAACGTCTTAAACTCGGTTTGCCCATTACTAACAAAACTGTAGTTACTTGAACTTCAAGTTACATATAACAGAGTCCTGCATTTACTCCTATTTAATATTGGACTTTTAATGAAATTAAGTGAGAAAGGTTCTATAATTCCTTCTGGATAGATGGCATTCATTCCTACATTCAGTATTGAAGCCCATACAGTACAGAGGCTACAAAACACCAGTCCTATTTTATAATACCACCTGCGACTATATTGGAACAGAAGCCGGCTTCATGCACAGCTGATAACTGTGAAACAGGGTGTGAATGTGGCCCAGTAATCAGTGTGGAATATTGCTGCAGTCTTTAAAATTATTTGCAAAACATTCATTAGAACCCTACCCATGAGATGAAGTTTTAATACATTTTTGTTACCTGCTAATTCCCAGTTGCACCCACATTGTAATTGTAAGATTGACAACAAACCTTGAGAGAGTCCTGTCTTCAACTCAGTACTAAACAATCCCAACCTGAAAAACCAGTAAGAATTGGGATTATGGTCTGCCTTTGCTGGCACCACCTTTAAGTTCCAGTGACATTCCCTGCTGCAGAAAAGACATACAATTTCCCTATAGTCACGATGGGATGGGAATGATATGGGAAGGCTCATGACGCTATCAATTTCCAAAGTTTGAAAACTGTATTCAAAATAGAACTATTTATTAACTGATAGAACATCATAACTTGGAATGGTATACAGTAAATGTGGGGCTGTAACTAGTATTTAGATTTCTCCCCCCCCCGAAAAAAAACTCAGTGGATTCCAACATGCTGAAATGCGGGTGAGTTGTATTGTCAGACAGTAAAGAGTTTCGTCCTTATTTGTTGAGAACTAAACTAACTGCACATATCTGTGTGTCGTACATTCTATGCTTATTCCTCTACTGAAATGCTGTCACACCCGTTCTAATTTTATATGTTCTTGTTCTATGTACTGATCATTTATGAAAATTGTAAATGGTGTGTATTTTCAAAATGGCAGTGTTTGCCCTTCAATCAATTGTCTTAACCATCGCCTAACCCTTTCCATTATTGATATATTTCCTCTCTTCTCCCCATGCCCACTTCCTTTTGTTTCTTGTATTGACAAACCGGTAATGGTACATGGAAACTGTCCATTGCATGCTGTTTGGTACGGTACTGTGCACAAGTGTGAAAGCTTGGAAAATTGTGTCATGTATGGTTTGTCTTCTTTGCTTACCTCAGAACTAGCTAATTTGAAAAAAAAAGGTCACTCTGTGCCTGTGTCATTTTAACCTGAACTCTCAATTAATCCTGCACCATGCTGAACTGAGAAACAAACATGGATCAGATGCCAAAAGCCTGGTGTTTTCAGGTTTTCTGATCACTGAGACTGTTCTGTCAAAGGACCGAGCAATTCAGATACCGATAGTGAATGTACAACTGAATGTCATGTAATTAAATGTTCAGTTCGATAATGTACAGTGATGCTGATCATGTTGCTCCTGTTAAAGTGAATGTCCTGGAATTTGTTTTCATTTACAGGTGTTGGGAATGTGTAAGCTATTCTAGTGGCAGTAGCTGAACAATGTACAGTCCTTTGGTATAGGCCTGTCACATTAGCTTTCAATATTCATTGCCAGTAGACCAAAAAAAACTTGTAAAATCTATTGTATGGATTGGGTACCTGTCATGTGGATGAAACAGAAAATTGGATCCAGACGATGCCTTCTCTGCCGGCATTAATTACCATTGCAATGGAGGATCGGATATAAACATCAAGTAATAGCTGAACACCACAGCTTCTATTCATCCATCTCACAATTTGCAAGCTAGATTAAGCATAATTAGATGTAATGTTCAAAAACTTTGCAAGATCATCTTTGTAAGAATTAGAAAAGCATTGATAGGTCTGACAGCATCTGTGGAGTTAGAAACTGAGTTAATATTAGAGGTTGGTGACCATTTATCAGTAATGACATAAGTTGGTAGTTGGACCGAGTTGAGAAGGGGAATGAACAAGTTGGGTTATGTTATGAGATGTTCTAGGATGGGGGAGGCAAGTGTTTTGGGCTAGTAGCAGTCAGGTTGGTTTGGGAGGGAATCAAAGGGTCCAGTGGGGATTTGGATAAAGAAATTGCATCAGATGGGAGAGGGTGGGGGCAGGGTGGATTTGGAGGTCTGGGAGGGGAGTTGGGAGTCAGATGGTGTTTGAAGACTTGAAGAGTTGGGTGATCGAGGGTGTTGGGGGAGTCAGTTGTTCAGTGAGCAGTAGGGGCTGGGATGGGGATTCAGATGTATCGTTACTCAGAAGTGGCACACTTTTAATCTATCTAATGTTTCCTTGGTAACTGTCCAAGTTAGATCTCTCCAAATGTGCAGGGAGCTGGAGAATTGTTTTCCTGAAGTTTAAGCTTCCATGGATTCCTGTGGTCAGTGCATAGAGACTTTCAACTATCTGAAGACTGGAAGGAAGATTTGGGCCATAAAAACATCGAAAGGCACATCATAGAAGTATTAAAAAAACAAAATTTGATGTTGAGCCATATAATGAGATAAAATGGCAGATGAGAGAAAGCTTGGTCAAAGAGCTGGTTGAGATGTGATTTAAAGGAGGAAAGAGAGGTAAAAAAGCAGAGAAATTTAACAAAGAACTTCATGATTTGAGATTTTGGCAGTTGAAGGCGCAGTCACCAATGATAGAATGATTTACATCAGGCATAATCAAGAGTCTGGAAATAGAGGAGAGCAGGTATCAAAGGATTGTGGGGGAAGTTACAAAGATAGGGATGATGTTGGGGGCAAAAATGGGTGGTAATGTCACAAGTAAAGAGAACAGGATCAGGAGGAGGTGTAAATGGTTATAACAGAATCGTTATAGCGGAATGGTTATAACCAGTATCTGCTGACCAAGTAAATGTGAAGGGTGGAATATCCAGAACTCATTGTTGAGGTTGCAAGCCTGTAAAGTGCCTACTTTGTAATGAGATGCTACTCCTCGAGTTTACATTGAGCTAATCTCCTTCCACCATTCTCTCAGGTTGAACTTGGACATTGTACTCAAGCCCACTGACAAGAGAGACATCATTGTTGATTGGTGAACAGTGGAATTGGAAATGGAAACTCCAACACTTTGCCCCTCCTCCTGAATCACAATCCTTCTGCTGATCATCCATCAATTATTCCCAAACATCTCATGTTCACTGAAGGTATTGTGTGACAGCTACCAACCTTTTGATTCCCAGCTCAGACAGGCTCCATTTCAGATATGTTATACCACTTTAACATTTCCAGTTTATAAGCCCTGTATTTTCTTCCTCTATTTCCCATACAACCATCCCCTGACATGACAGTACGCAGCCCCCTCTGCTTCTCCCTTGAACAAAGACCTAAGCAATCCCTGTCGATCACTACCCACCTTCTCTTGGTAGTCCTGCTCTTTTAACTCCACTCACTTCCTTCAAATAATAGATATTGCTATGGGAATTCATATGATCCCTGGTTCTGCCTGACATTCTGTGGGATATATGGATTTGATCCAGTTGGACATAGTTTGCCTCCTTAACTCTTTTTCCTGTATATTGAAAATTATATTGGTTCACTTCCAGCTTACCTCCTGAATTGGATAATTTATTTTACTCCCAGTTTTGTCATCTTATGGTTCATCTCTGTTTCTTCCATTTCCTTCCTCAACTTCTTTATCTCCATAGCTGGAAATAGGCTGTCTACCAATATTAATTGTAAGTTCACTGACTCTCACAGTTACCTTGCTTACACTTTTTCCCAGCTCCCCTTCCTTTAAACATTCTATTCTATCAGTTTCTGTCTCCATCACATCTGTAATGATATTGCTATTTTACCCACCAATGCTTTCAAAATATCTTCTTAATTTAGGATGGTTGGCAGAGCACCCAATTCTACCTGTTCTATTACTCTCACCCTTTCTCCTCCTAACAGTATTTTCTGACCTTTATTTTGCTGCTAGCAATACTTCACTTCTTCTCAAATGTTACCACTCCCTTCAAATTTTGTTCTATAATGCCTTTGATCTCCAATCTGTTTCACTCTCTAATCTTTCCTGGAGTGTCATCATTGTTCATTCACCCCTCCCCCCTTTTAATGAGAACAAAAGATGTAGGAGCCATTTGGTTCGTCAAGTCTACTCCACCATTCAATGAGATCATGGAGAGACCATGGCAGATCTGATAATCCTCAACTCTACTTTCCTATCTATTCCACACACCCCTTGATTCCATTACTGTCTGAGAGTTTGCTGTCTCAGCCTTGAATATTCTTATTGGCTCAGCCCTGACTGCTGTCTGAAATAAAGAATTCCATAAATTCACTACCCTCAGAGAAGGAACTCCTCTTCATCTCTGTCAAAAATGGGTGATCCCCTTATTCTTATCTCCCAAAAAAGGAAAGATCTCTGAATCTATCCTGTCAAGCTTTTTCAGAATCTTATGTGTTTCAATAAAGTCTTCACATTTTTCTAAATTACAATGAGTTCAAGCCCAATCTACTCAACTTCTCTTCATTAGAAAATCTCTCTATACCTCAAATCATCCGAATGAATGTTCTCTGGATTTCCTCCAATGCCTGTATATCTTTCCTTATGTAAGAGGCCCAAAATTGTTCAGATTATTGTAGGTGTGGTCTTACTAGTGCCAAACTAGTATAGTGAAGTTGTTGACTTGCTCGCTGAGCTGGCTTGTTCTCGTTCAGATGTTTCATCACCATGCTAGGTGACATCATCAGTGGAGCTTCCGATGAAGCGATGTTATTCTACTCCACTTGGAATTTATACTGTCTGGTCTGTTATGGCGAGTAGTGTCATTTCCTGTTTTGATCTGTATGGGTTTGTATATGGGGTCCAATTCTATATGTTTGTTGATTGCATTACGGGTGGAGAACCGTGCCTCTAGGAATTCCTGTGCGTGTCTGTGTTGGCTTGGGCTACTATGGTTTTTCTATGGAAATTATATGGGACTTCCTAGAGGCATAGTTCTCCACTTGTAATGCAATCATCAAACATATAGAATTGGACCCATATACAAACCCATACAGATCAAAACTGGAAATGACACTACTCACCGTAACGGACCAGACAGTATAAATTCCAAGTGGAATAACATCGCTTCATCGGAGGCTCCACTGATGATGTCACCTAGCATGGTGATGAAATGTCTGAACAAGAACAAGCCAGCTTGGCGAGCAAGTCAACAACGTCACCCACAACCTGAGCTAAAGATCTTTGCCAAAACTTTAAAAACTAGTATAGTTTTAACAAGACCTCCCCTTTTTTTATGCTTCATTCCCTTTGAAATAAAGGCCAACAGATCATTTGCCTTCCCTATTACCTACTGAACTTGGATGCTGGCTTTTGAAAATTCATGCAGAATGACTCCCAAATCCTTCTGTGCTGTGACTTTATGTAGTCTCTCTCCATTTGAATAACATTCAGCTCTCCTATTCTTCCTGCCAAAGTGCATCACCTCAAATTTTCCCACATTATATTCCATCTTCCAAGTTTTTGCCCACTCATCTAACCTGTCTATATCCCTCTGACACTTTGCGTCATCCTTGCTACTTCCCATCTATTCATCAGCATAAAGCTCATTACACTTCTACCTCTACATCTGAAGAAGAGTTATATTGGACTTAAAACATGCATTGTTTGTATCTCCACACATGCTATCAAACCTGCTGAGTTAAGTATTTGCTGTTTTTCTTGCAAATCTCCAGCATTTGCAGTATTTTGCATTTATTTTGGTATTTTGTTTGGGTTTATTCAAACTTTTATAATCGCTGCTCACAAACTAGCCTCCTTCACAGATGAGGAGGCCAAATGCAGATTGGGTTAAATCTTTCTGAATACCTGTGTTTACTCCACAAATGTGATCCTGAACATTTGGTCATTTGCTGCTTTAATCTAATCTCAGTCTGAACTTTCTGTCTTCAGTTTTCTACACTGTTCTATTGAATCTTGAAGTAAGATCACAGGACAGCATCTCATTTTTCAGTAGGTACTTCACAGTTCTGTAGTCTCAAGACTGAGTTGAATAGCTACCACTCAGATTTCTCAGACAGCACATGCAAGTAAAACATGAGTAAAGTACTGTGATTCCTGTAAACCTGAAATAAAACCAGAAAAATGCTGGAAAAGTTCAGCGGACTGGCAGCATTTGTGGAGAAAGAAATGGTTAATATCCCTTCGTAAAATTAGTTCTGACAAAGGGTCCATGACCTAAAACGTTAACTCTGTTTTTGTTTTTCCATTTATACTGAAAATAGTTCTGCTGTTGCAACTTACATTCCTTTTAGATTCACCCTTTGTTTCTTGTGACATTACTATCCTCACCTGACTGGTTGATCCTTCATTTAATTGTGTATGTCTCACACCCTATCACAGTTGATTCTC